AGACCACGTGTTACTAAAAGCAAAACCATGGGCGTTTAATACCAGGTGCCATTGTGTTCCCACCCGCAGCCAGTATAGAAGTTTAGCGTCATCGGGAAAACACAGTAAAAATAAACTTCCCTACGGAATATTACCACAGAGAGATAGCAAGATGTTTCGCTCAGGTTGACTCTACCTGTGGAAAGCACGTTAGCGGCGGGTGCTAATGAGCTGCGTTTGTTAGCGGCGGGGGTGCCGAGGTAACCCACTGTTGGTTATTGTTGTGGTTCACTCAACAACAGCCCTTGATTTAATCAGGTGGGACAGAAAAATGTTGCTGTATTCGAGTAGCCGTACTTTCCTACATAAACACTGATGTTTAGGTTATTAAAAAAAGCATTGCAGTTTATATTCTTAAAGAAAAGCTTGTAACGGTTACAGTCCTAAGTGATCAGCATCTTGGCGGTTCAAGACCGTGGAACAGCTGAGTAGAGGGAATTTTGGAAGTATTCAGAAACCAGGTGAGGTTTTTTCATACTGTTGGTATACTGTACAGAAAGATTTTGGTTTTTTGAGGAACAAGTAGTTGGGGAATTCTATAGATTTTAATGTTTGAACAGTCATTGGAATAATTCAGGATGGCACTCGCACACGCTGAACTTGTGGTTTTGCATTTAAGTTGGTGCGGAGCAAATGTATGGGAGCACGTGAGGTTATTTAATGTCTTCTTTTTCAGTCCAGTGAAATGCCAAAACTGACAGAGCAGTTGGCAGGACCACTTCGGCAAATGCAGGTAATCTGTGCGTTGGAATCTCCCTGAGCTCAGGATTAACGCTGAGTGCAAAGTGTGTGAGTGAGTAAGCGCGTGGTGGAGACTTGATTTTGGATCATCGGTGAATTTGGCTGGCACTGTACGTGGTTTTTGCAGCGTGTAATAATGGGTTACCTTGTTTGCCAGAAATGCTAATGCAGAACATGCCTTTAAAACCGTTAACAGCTTGCTTACTCCACCACTGCAGGTTGTTAGTGCAGGCAGACTTGATGTAAACAGTGGCTTCCTTTCTGATTCTAAATAATTTCACACCAAAAAGGAAACCTCATCCTGTATGCAGCACCTGATCACGGGCAAGCCTTTCTATTGGTTAGACACCTGAACAGATAAAGCGTGTGGTAAATCTAAAATATTCCATTTTAAAGGAGTGCGCGAAAAGAATCGCCAAGGTGTCAGCAGAAGCGAAACTGGAAATCGATGAAGAAAATTACTTAAATTCTTTCAGACCCAACCTCATGGATGTTGTGTATACGTGGGCAAACGGAGCTAACTTCGCTCACATCTGCAAAATGACTGATGTCTTTGAAGGTAGGTTACCCCGTTCTTCTTCAGGAGGTAATTCCGTAACACGGAATGGTAACTCTGAATCACAAACGTGATCACAAAAGTTACAAACTCGGGTGTTTCCGGTATCCCTGTGGCTGAGATTAGGTGGGAAAAAATTTGTTTGCTCTATGTGCTAATTTATAGTTAACACGGTTGGTAATTTAGAATCCATAGAAGAGTTTTTGAAAGGGATATCCCTACATTTAAAAAACCTTCTGTAAAACCCAGAAATCCTGCTGCAACAGAAGGTAACACTTAACCTTTGCCAGGAAAAGGGAAAAACGTCCTGTTCCAAATTCTTGCCATTAAGATGTGCAGCTCTTGCGCTTGTCCTCGTCACAGTTAAGTGTTTTATTTCCTTGGAAAACCGAGGGTTCCTCCTGCTTAAGGATGACGGAAGTGAGAGGAGGTAACCCCGTCTCCGTGTGGACGGTTCGTCGCAGCCGTGCGGTGCAGGGGTTTGAAAAGGCTGGGTGTAACCTGTCACCTGGGTGGATTTGGTTCCTAAAACTGGAGGGCAGCTTCCCATTGAGGACGGTTAGTTAGCTGTCGTTGTTTCAGAAGTCGTAACGACTTCAAGCCGAGGTGCTTTGTAAGAGGACGAACCATCCACCGGAAGGTCAAAACAGGATGAACAAAAACCCTAATTTCATTTTTTACCAGCTGTGTTGAAAGTGCTGAAGGACAGCAGGATGGGGGCACCGCTCCTACGACTCTGTATGTAGCAACTCCTTCGGAAACCCTTTTTCAAGTGAAGTTGCTACTGTCACCGCTGTCTTGCCCCTCTCCAGTGCTGTTTTCCTACGTATCTGTACAGGAATACAAAGGAATTCAGGCGCTTCCGTGACCCAGAGCATAGACCCAGAGCTTCCTGAAGCGGGATGCCTGGGGCCTGCCGGGAAACCTGTCAGTCTTCCATGCTGCGCTCTGCAGGTTCCTCCTGCGGCAGCGGGAGGCTGGGCCCGTCAGCGGGTCCCTGAGTGAGGGGACCACGGGAGGAGGGGCAGTAGCTGCTTCTGCCATTACGCCGTCACCCGACTGTTAGGAATGTGCAGGGCGGTAACGTTTTCCATTCGCCATGCGCTAAGGCTCCTCGGTCAGGTTTGTCTGCAGGGCTAGTG